ACAAAATCTTGACTACTTGTTTTTTCATTTTCAATTATTAAGATTTATTACAATTTTTTAGGTGAAAAAATTAATTATTTTTAATAAATATGAATAGAAAATAAATTGTTAAAATTTAATAAAAATGTGATGTGTAAGAATTATATGTAAATGAATCTTATATATATATATATGATTAAGAAATTTACATGACAAGGATAACAATAAAAAAATATATTAACCGTACATAAAGTAAGAAAATTATAGTGAGAGCTGCAGAGTAGAGCATACATGGTGAAGTATTACTTACTAGGCGATAGGCTGGAGAAGAGAGAAGCTAGAGTTAGCCATGAGAGAGGAGAGTAGTAGTATATATAGGATGTAGGAACTGGGAAAGACCGAACGGTTGATGCCCTGTTCAATAAAACAACATGAGTAAGAAGATCAGAGAGAGAAATATGAAAAACACGGACCGTAAAGAACAAAAGGCCACCAACGGAGGTCCAATTTAAGAGGTTAAAAAACCATAAGGGGCATAGAAAAATGGACTGATAAAAAAAAAATTGGACTTGATGGAAAGCAAGTAACATTATGGAAGTAATAACCTTTCTTTTATTGATATGTTTAGGGTCTGCATCTGCATAGCTCTCTGTAAGAGGATGCCAATTATTCTCTATATTGTTAGTCGGTTGATTCCACAAGGTATAGGTCAGCGTTCTCTCAAATTCACCTTCAAGTTCACTCATCTAACAAGAAAGAAACAAGAAACCAGAAGGTAGATAAATTAGAATTATGGTCTCAACCACACTAAATCATGAGACAACAAAATCAACTGAAGAAGAATAACACTGACATGGATGTGAAATTCAGAAAAAAAAAAAAAAAATCGGGGGGAGAGATTAACTATGATCCTTCTTTCACTTACCACAAACAATGTCTGCACGTAATGTTCATCTAAGATACAGTTGTCCTGCTTTTGAAGTTTCTGCACAATTTGGACAAGGATATCAACCACTTGAAGGGAAAAGAAGCATTATATATGTCTGAAGTAAAAACTAGCAGCACAAACTTTTGGGGAATATAAAATTAAAATTAATTATTTTTTATTAAATAAAAATCTTTTTTTCCATCTTCCACATAAAAAAAACTGGAAATATTTTTTTGATCAATATCCATGAGACAGAGAATTTGATCCACACCAAACTAATGCAGTTATATAATTGCACTGTGTTATCTCTGTTCCACTATTCTATTCCCTTCTTCAAGCCAACCTTTTGTCTATCGGGCTACTGTTTCCATAACCAAAATGGTAACATCTCTTTATAGTGCAGTGTGAAGTCCATACAGTAGAAAATATAATGGCAGCAGGATTATGTAAACTAAGGGACACTGCCTACTATACTAGAAATCATGGCTTGGAACAATTACCATATTCAGCTTTCTTTTCCTAACATCCAGAGGTGGGCGTCTCTGCAACAAAAGAAGAAAATTTAAATCTCAGATAAGTTGCACATAGTTAATGAATTACTTAATTAGCTGTATGAACGCTTACAAAAATGATGAGGGGCACCTCTAAAGGAAATTAATGAAGGCACCATTTTATATGTTAGCACAACTTTTATATGCTTAGTTCGACTATTATTTGTTTGATAATTATTCACAAAGCACTAAAATCTGGATTAGAAAGCAACACCAAAAGAAAACTTAATTTTATCACAATAGCATTAATGAGAATATGAGATATATGGTCAATATGAAAAAGGGCTGTTTGGGCAGCTTTGCAAGCTCATGTACTGTTGAGATAACTGTTTTGGTACCTGAAAATCCCAAGGAAGTATCCTAAGACACTCCGACGTTCAAGTTAGCAATATTTAGTTGCTCTAGAGAGAGAAGCTCTCAGAACCAAATATTGCATGTATCCATAGCTACTTGATGCTTTCAGCATCTAAGAACACCATTTTCTTTAGTTTGTTTTGCTTACTTTCTAACTAAAGTTTTTCCAACTTTAGTAAATATTCCTAGATGCACCTTGACTCCAGTACAGACACAACCCTTCCAGATTGTATATCCTACATAATAGATTATAGTTTCAGTCTTTCAGAATGAAATATTATATATGATAGGTTTTGGGATATGAAGTTTAAAGAGTATGTTCAGTTTGGAGGATGAAATCATAAAAACGAATCAAAACTAAAAAGGAAAAAGAGTAACTTGACAAACTAGGATTAAGGAGATAATAAGGTTGATTAGTTAATTCTTGATTAAGGTTTAATTAATTTTTTATAAGATATAAGTTTAGTATTAAAAAAATTCTAAACCAAACTTGAGCTTGTTCCTTGATGTTTAGTTTTTAACAAGCCAAGTACGAGTTGAGCTCAGTTTTTGCGTTATGCTGTTGGAGTCAAGCTTGGCCTGAAAAACATGCTCAATATCCACAATTTGTATTTATAAACCTTAATTTTGGCATATGGTGATGAACCTAGCTACAATGACATATAGAATCATCAACAAAAATGAGAAAAGCTTAATACATTTGACCGCAAAACAATTAGCTTATGCCCAGAATTAGAATAGAGAAAGGCTGCCATAGTTAATGAAAATTAAGAATCAGAAGAAAACATTTCCAATATAGTATAATTTAAAAATTTTTCAAAATCAATAAAATTTACCCTAAATGAGAAAATTATATATATGTTACCAAGAAATTTACATGACAAGTTAGGATAACAATAAAAAAATATATATATATTAAGCATACAGTAAGTGAGAAAATTATAGTAAGAGCTGTTGAGTAGAAAATATATGATCAAGTATTACTCACCGAGCAACTGGCAAAAGGAGGAGAGAAGAAAAAGTTGGCTGTGAGAGAGGAAAGCAGTATAGGATGTAGGAACTGGTAAAGACCAAAATGCTATTATCTGGTATTCTTTGCCTCTTTCACAAACAAAGAAATCTGGTATTGTCTACAGTGAATTGATCAATTTCCCCCAAGCAACATCACCTGCAAATGCAAATCAATTTATCATTTACTTTGTAGGGCATGTTGGGAATAGGATATTTACCTTCTTTTTCTCACCTTAGGGATCTTCTCAATAAGTCCTTCCCAGAGCAGTTGAGGGCTATAAAAACTTCCAGGATCTTGGCTGCAGTAAATTGATTGTTCTGTCTAAGCAATATGTTGAATAAGGGCTATCAGTTCTTGCCTTACCTTGGCATCTCTCAGTATGTAGGTCCATATCCCCAGAACTGCTGAAGTCCTCTGTAATTAACTTTCACGGTCTTGTCTACAGTGAATCAATCATTTTCACCCAAGCAACTTCACCTGCAAATGCAAATCAATTTATCATTTACTTTGTAGGGCATGTTGGGAATAGGAGATTTACCTTCTTTTTCTTACTTACCTTAGTTATATTCTCAATAAGTCCTTCCCAAAGCGGTTGAGGGCCACAAAAACTTCCAGGATCTTGGCTGCAGTAAATTGATTGTCCTGTCTAAGCAACATGACCTGTGAGGCAGGAACACAGAACCAAAGGCCTGCTGGTTGGACTCCATGTTTTCAGTCTCCATATTTAATTTGTAAAAGCTTCAACATTTCATTTCCTACCTCGGCACAGCTTGGCATAGCCAAATGTAAAATGGTTTTGCTTTAAAGAACAACCAAGAAAATGGGGAGTAGAACAATTGACCTCTTTCATTGAAGCTTGAAATATGTACAAGTCTGGTATAACAGAAACAAGCAAAAAGTAGAGAACATGTGAACAAAACCCGCTTTTCCTCAACTTTTGCTGCCTTGTCTAAAGGCATTGACCAAGTGCTTTCTTTTCATCAACTAAGCATAAAGACAAACAAGAATTAAAATGCAACAAAACAAAAAAACTTAAAATGAACTGAACCAAATCAAAAGCCCATAGGTGGAGCAAGTAGTAGCTCCCCACATAGGGGCTCTTACCGGATTTGTGTTCGATTCCTCCCCATTCCCTTTCCACCAAAAATTCCCAACCTCAAAAATAGATAAATAAATAATAAACTGAACAAAATCAGTTTCATGAAGTTTAGTTCCTGCCATCTTTATTTCTTCATAATACCAATAAAGTTTGTGCAAACTTGATGTCACAGCTTCAACACCAAAATCAAAGAATTCCAAGAAACTATGTCAGCCCTGGTCCATCAATTCAAAAAAGCCCTAAACATCTTCAATACTTCTACATTTACCATACATATTCAACAATGAGTTCACCAGAGTAATATGAGACTCAAAACCATTGAAAAAAACTAGACAGCAATGCAAACCCATGGCATAGACGAGCTCCAAGACTCTACATGGCAAATATAATGGTAATAGAGTTACAGGGCTAGGTTGAATACCTCAATAATGTGACTAAATTTTGCAAGTACTACACGACATGTTGAGTGAAAAAATCCCACATCAAGTGTATAACAAAGAAGTATGCGGGTTAAATACAACAAGAGCCACTTCACCTAATGTCAATTGACTTTAGATTGGATGCAAGTCTTGTGTTGAAACCCGCATGCACAATTTTCACACCACATCACTCAAGCCAAAGTATGAAGTACACAATCCAAAAGGAAACAGGAAGCAATTCAAATTCTGTTGAGAAGAACTACACCTGACAAGTAAGTTATTCAAAATGAACATAAGATGACCGCTTAAAGAAAGACAACAGAAAAAGACATATAGAAAGCAAACACGAATGCCTTGTTTTCATTTTTCATTTTGTAAATGTACAACTTCAATGCTGAATGTCTTGTGGCTCCCTGTAACCTCTTTGGAAAAGTGAGTTCCAAGGCCCAGATGATTCATTGCCAACCAAACGAGAGTAAGGAGTTCCTCTCCTTGACTTGGTTGCTTTGCATGCACATCTGCCCTGCAATTAATAGCTGCATAGCACGCTAATTCTACCCAGACTTAGCTCATGAACTCCCATGGATAACTGTTTGACTACTTCAGCTGGCAGGTGAGCAGACATGCTGCAGCAAACCCTGATGTCCTTTTATCCCTTCTCTCAGTCACATCCTTGTCCATTCCAAATAGATTTGATAATTAATTGTGAAGACACAAGGAAAATATGATTTTACACATTGAAACACTGCCAAATGATAAGGCCATCAAAGCTGCAGGCAAAAAAAAAAAAGAAGAAGAAGAAAGGAAGATCACCTCGTTTTATCCATCCCCAATTGTAGCAACTACAAGCACATGCTCAAAGTTGTCTCCCTTTTCCATGACTACCACATCCAGCAATGATTGTGCTCCAAGAGATCAGATTGCGCCACAACATCACATTAAAGCACCTACTGGCAGCATCTAAATTACCACATTTACAATATATGTCTACTAGAGCTGTGTCTACCAAGTAACAAGGTGCAAGACCAGAGGAAATTTTGAATTACAAAGTTATGAAGCCACTTCCCCAGATTGAGAGCCCCAATGGATGCACTAGCTTGGAGATGAATGACAATGTAAGTCAATGAATCAAGCTTTTGTAGGCTCATCATCATTTCATTTAATAGTAAAAATACCTTCTATAGATAGCCATTTCTTCTGAGCATACCCAGCTATTACTGCATTCCAAGAACCAAATCTCTTTTCTCCATCCTCTGAAAACAGCACAACTTTGCTCTAGATAACCACACTTGGCATACATGGTGACAGGAGAGTTCTGCACTATAACACGGATCATCATTCTCTGCCCATGAATTGGTGACCCCAAATGAAAAGAACGCACCTGTGCACATGCTGCAAAAGCACTAGCTATGATGAAGTTAAATGACTCCGTTCTTTATTTCAACATCTTAGGGAAAACTTCCAGAACCTTGAGTACATAGTTGATTTTTCTCAAGCCCAAAGATCATTGTTGTCCATGAAAACACATCTTTTTCCAAAATAGTATCCCCACAGCTTAAATACATTACTATAAGAAATGTTTTAACATGAGCGTCTCAATCAATTACTAAGTCAAATTACTAAGAACACTGAGCCGGTTCCGAAGTCGAATTACCATGCGTTACAATGGCAGCAGAGAACCAAAAGCCTGATGGTCAAGCTCCACATTGTCAAGCTTCATAATATGTAAAAGCTGTAATATTTCTTCACAATGTGTAAAAGTTGCAATGTTTTTTCAGTCCAGGACAATTCATCTCCATCAGGCATTTTGTCGAACAGTTTTCGTGCACTGCTATCTGCTAATGTGATTGAGCTTGGCACAGAAATCAATCGAAGAAGATAAAATCCAAACAGAAACCAAGAGTCATGGTAGAATGCTGTAGCGAAAGCCGGGGAAGAGGTGATTCATAAATGGACAACAGGGTGCCCAACAACTGTTCAGGTGTGCACCTGCAGCTGTGGATAAGCATTAATCTTTTGTTTTTGCTCGTAAAGGATCTTCTCTTATGTCCGGAACCGGAAGGATTGCTTCACATTGGCCATAGGAATTTTTGTTAAACAGTGTAAAATGGTGCATATCCCATCACAGCAAAAGAATAGAAAACTAATAGAATTTATCCGTTAGTTAATTATTATTAAGTGAAGTTAAACTCATGGGTAGTGGGCTTTAGATTCAGTATTTGACCATTTATATTCTCATTTAGATAATCACCCATATACCTTATTATTAATGCGTAATGTTATTATTATAATATTATATAAAATTATAAACTTACAATTTTATATAATATTAAGTGAAATATTTTGTGGTATTAATTAAATGAATACATACAAAATTAAGAGTAGATTCATAAATAAAAA